TTCCCTGTTCAGATGGTGGTTTTGCTAGGCTTGTATGTTTTTGAGCACTTTAAACTCCTCTAGTGATGGTTGGACTGTGTTTTACTTAAGAAAAAATTAAAGAATCTACTTTCTTCTTTGATCATAGCAAACAGTGTTCATTCTCAACTGCTTAATTAGGTTACCTACTGGCATTTGACTTAATGATTCCTTCAAATTTCTTCTGTAGAAAAGCTGAATCTGGTTATTTGAATGATTTTACTTCTACTGAAATAATACAGCTAATGCATGTGGGAGAAACATTCTTTAAATCTTACAGTTTTTCTTCACTGAAACAAAAACTGGTGGATCTAGAAACTCTCTGTTTTCATGTTCGGTAGTTCTCTCCCTTGAAGAGAACACTTCTGAGCTGGCAGAGTACCTTGAACAGATTTGAAACACTGTATCTCCTTTTTAGCATTACACCATGCCCAAGCAGATGTAGTTAAAGGTGTATTTCATGTGTATGTATATGCTTGGGAAATTAGTCTGAAATAATGGCTTGCAGCTTTCCAACCACTGGAAACTTTTGTGAAATACTCAGCCTAGTTTCCTTGCCAAAAGAGAAATTCACTTTATCTTTTGAGAAATTCAGGATACATCAACAAAGCACAAAAAGGAATATTAAGAACTGCTGAATTAGCTAACTTCTAAGAATCTTGACAGTGCTTCTCACTGGAGCAGTTCTGATTTTCTGTTGTATTCAGCCAGCTTTTCCCATTCATTCCACTGTAACGGTGCCCACCCATCTGCAAGTGCAGATGACAAGTCCTTTGATCAAAGTACTTGGGGGAGAATTAAATTTACTCCCCATTCGGCATCATGTATGAGTTCTGTCTCATAAACAAGACTTTAATATTTGAAAGCCATTTGAGTTTATTCCAGCATTAACCAGCTGGACAGTTACTGCAACTGTTACCAACTGAGAAGTCACTGCTTTAGACAAGAATGGCTTTCTTTGTTTTGTTTGCAGCTGTAGGTAATACAGTGTATCCATGGAAGTGGTTGGGGCTAGGGCGAGCTATTCATTGTCAAATCCCCCTGCTGTCCATAAGGAAGCTTCAAAAACAAGAGCTGTTTGAGGAGGTCCCTTAAGGGCTATATCAGAAACAGTTTATACTATACAGCTGTCTAGCTCTATAGTTTGAAAGAAAACTGAGATATGCACAAAGTGCCCAGCTTATTCTCTGCTGTGTAGCAGGATTGTTGCCTTTGATCTGAAAGATACACTCAATAGGTTCCTTCTTCACACTTTATTGGAAGGACAAAATATTATTTGCAAACTGTTTTGAAATATTAAATACTTCCTATGTTTTTTTCTATGCCCTTTTAGATGTCTTTCTGACATAGTCATGTTATTAGGACCTCTAAAAAGTGTGCAAATAATGAAGTTCAAATGTACATGTTTAGAAAATTCTTACCTGCCTCACATTAAGGACAGGAATAGATTGGACAAATGGATTGCCACCACCTACACAAACTGTGGCAACATGATCATTGTGGAAGTCAGTCCTGAAAGAAGATGCAGAAAGAATTCAGCAGCTCGGAGCTTTCTCCTTGCTGATCATCTAGTGATCTCTGCAGTTCTCCTCCACTGTCCTAACCTATATTCCCCTCAGACTTGGAAGAAGAAATTGCAACAGTTGATGTGCAGATACACAAAACAGATTTGCAGACAGACCGATTTGTGAGCAGGATGGGAGAGAAGGATCTGGTTTGGGGGAGATTTAATTGCTATGCCAGGGGAGGGACTATACTGGAGTGAAGAGATCCATTCTGCTTTCAATAGTAAGTAGATCATGACAATATTAAAATAACTGAAAGATACTTTTAGGCTAACATTGATGACAAAACGGTCTTTTCTGACCAATAAATCTGTGAACTAGAGATCATGTATTTTAGGAAACAAATTAAAAGCTGGAGAGAATCACAGATCATGTATCACAGTCTGTTTCTTCATTACATTTTGTAGATACACTATATCATAGAACCATAGAATCTTAGGGGTTGGAAGGGACCTCGAAAGATCATCTAGTCCAACCCCCCCTGCCAGAGCAGGGTCACCTAGAGTACATCACTATGGTCATAGTATTAATTATTTATTGATCTCTGCAAAGGACTAGAAATGTTCTGTAGTAGCTTTT